GGAAGGGTGTGGCACTGGATGGGGTCTAAGGTTCCTTCCAACCCAAACCATTCTGAGATTCTGTGATGAGGGAGGCTGAGCTCACGGCTGGGGCTCGTTAGCTCTGATGGGTTAATAAGGAGCAGGGGCTGCCCCACTGGTGGGTTTGGGGTTTTGAGTGGAGTTGTTCCCCTGGATGCTGCAGGAGGAAGCTGGGAGTTGGAGGTATTTATCTTGCTTGGTTTTTTGGGGGGTTTTCGTGGGTTTTTTTGGGGGGAGAGAGATGGTTGGTATAGGGGGGTGGGATGTGGTGGGACCTGCCAGTGCCACGGAGGCTGGGTGATGCTCTGGGGCTGTCCCAGCCCAGGCTGTGCTGTGCAAAGTGTCCTGGTGCAGGAGTGAATGGGAGTATTTGCACTGAAGTGGGGCTGAAATGCTCTGGGGTGTTTGGAGAGGTTGGTTACAGCTCTGACACCTGCAGACGTGAGCCTGGAGCCACCAGAGATGGTGGCAAAGTCCCCACAGGGCTCTGTCAGGCTTTCCTGAGCCAGCTGCTCTCCCAGGGGCTGCCTCAGGGTCATGTCTTGCTACAGGTTGTGTTTAAAAAGCCCCATATCCTAGAATCCAGCCTGAGCTGGTTTTTATGAACAGAAAGTGTCGCTTTCCTGGCTCCCCTGATGGGGCAAAGCAGGGGGACAGGCTTGTCCCCAGGCTGCTTCTCCCCCAGCTCCGTCCCAGAGCCCCTGGTCACCAGGACAGCCCCTTGCAGCCCCTGAGGATGGATTTTGCTGCAGTTTAATTCTTTCAAAACACCCCAGAGGGTCCCCATCTGCACCGCTCTCACCGTGCCTCAAACCGCGTGTGTTTTGGGAGCAGCCCGAGGGGCGAGGTGGCGTCTCACTCACATATCGACCTCCTTCCCGTAGCCTTGGTGCTCGTCGTCCATGGAGCACTGCAGGATCTCGGGGGCCAGGTAGCCCGGCGTGCCGCAGATCTCTGCAAAGACGGCAGAGCATCCCCCTGAGCCCCCAGGAGGGTCCGTGCCATCCCCGCGGTCGATGAGGGGGGGTCTGGATCCCAGGTGGGATCTTTGCAGCGATGGTGCTTCCAGGGACTAACGGCAACGCTCACTGGTGACTTTTCTTGGTGAATTGTAGCGGCTA